CTCCCAGCATTATGTCCTCAAGTGGCACTTTTGTCCTAAGTTCGAGTTCTTGGTCAGAAATGAGTTCGTTTCTGACTGCCTCTATAGCCATATTTATTGGTATACGTGTATATAAACCATCTAACAGGAGCTAGTTATCTTAAGGTATGAGTGAAGAGTCCATACCAGAAGGCAATATGTCAGTAGAGATGCATCATTTCAGTCCAGTAAGGTGAATAAAAAAGAAATTCAAAATAACTTGTTGAATATAGTGTAATACAAATGTTTGATGAAAACAAAGGCATTGGTGCTTTCTATTACGCTAAATGAATTCAAAAAGCTATTGTATAAGAAAAATAGAAAAGATTATCAAATGTTTAGAGGTTGGATGTCAGGAAGTTTTCGCAGGTATATTAAAAATCTGGTTACATTATTAGTTAAAAAAAGATTAAACCTAACCTAAACTTAACGTGATAAAAAGACTGATTTTGGGGATGACTTGATGGTTCTGTTTTAACAGCAGATTTAAACATAGTGTTTGTATAAGTGTAGTTTAGCATTTCGCAGACTAATCATGAGAAAATGTTCAGAACTTAGAAAAAGCTGTAATAGTACCTCATAGAATTAGAGTGTTGCAAATGTCCCGACAGAGATAATCGTCTGTGATCAGTGTGACATGCATTATGCCTAATTCTTCTGAGCACTAGAAGTTGGAGGTGGAGGATAGAAGAGATGCACACCAGGTCTTTTATATGCTACAGCAACAATCTTTGTAGAACTGACTTGCATTCTGCAGCATACATTTTTGTTCCAAATTACATTATATTGATTTTATCGTAACCCATATTGTCAGTCGGGTTTTCGTTAGCTGATTAAATGCTATTACCTAATATAATCACTATAAAAGTGTAAGTGTTCGATTGATCTAACCTAGTTCTGACTCATATAGCCTCTTGACACTTGTTTTATGGAACTCAAATACAAATACTGAAGTAAGGAGAAATCAATCCGCTGGAAGCCGTGCTACTCTTAAGTCTGAAAGCCGATGCTTACCACATGCCTCAAATCAGTGAATTTCTGGAAGCCCTGGAACTAGGCAGTTACATTATTTGTCACCAGATGACTAAACTGCATGTTTCTGTTATGAATTTCATAAACGTTTTAATGGTAATAGCTTAATTCCAAAAAATAATTTTGATGCAGCCTACAATATTGCATCTAGTGTTCGCTTCACATGACATAGTAAGGGAAAAAATAATTACAAAACATTATGGTATTTACAGTAAAGGTACAAGAGGGCCCCTTTGTATAACTTGTCAAATATTCTTGGTGAAACATGTAAAATACAGTGATTAGAGTTCAGTGATGAAGCTGGTTTACAAGCTTCATACATACTGAAGTCATCTGTGAACACTAGATCTTGTATGGTGCCTAGTTGAGTGGTAAAGATGACAATATTTTCATTATCTAACGATATAAGAACATTGAAGTCAGGGTAACTGAAATCTCCACTTATCAGTGACAGGAAATTATCAAGAGAGTTGGCAGCAAAATAGTGAATTCATCAGCAAAGGTTGATATATCTGTGAAACTACAGCCAAGTGTGGTATAAGCATTCGTAAGTAAATGGTGGCATAGCGGTTAGGACGTTCGCCGGCCATGCACATGGTCCGGGTTTGATCCCCCGCCAACGCACACCGATACTATGGTTGCCTGCAAATTGGGCTACCGATATCCATGCTGAAAATTCCGTACTTGTACTGAAAATACAGTGTTATAGTATAAAATAAAATTAAAAATACGTGTTTCGGACGGCAACTAACTGTAACAGAATCAATATTACCACTTGAGAATTTAACCCATTCATTATTGGCAGTAGACCACTGAGAATTGATGAAAATAGCAACACCACTGTCATATTTCTTCCTAGATCCATGTCAATCTTGTCTTAACAACCTGAAACCGTTTAAACGAACTAGATTTTCATGATGCAGCCGAGTTTCTTGGAGCATTACTTCAACCGTACTGAGATAGATATTGGAAGACAACAGAGATTAAAGATACTCAACTTCATTGTACAGGGACCGGTAGTTTGTACTAATAATCTCATGCTATCAGTTCATTCTAAGTTGACGCATAGAAACCTATTCACTGGGATTCTAAAAGCAGTAGTCTTGATCATCAAGTGAAGTTACAGTTTGAATTTGCCACTGATCATCTTGAGAGTATCCACTGCTAACGCTACACTAGCCAGTTCGATGATAACCTTGATCACTTTTTTATTCCTTCACTTCCCAGTGGAACAAGGCTTCAAGTATGGCTTGAAGTTTCTGTAGATTTATTTTACAGGATGGGGTTGCTAGCCTCATGCCCAACCTTTCTTCTTTACCAGCTTTATTTCTGGTTTAGCGAGGTAAAGGAGTGCGTCCGTGGCCGGGGATCGAACCCCGGACCATGTACATGGTCGGCGAGCGTCCTAACCGCTGTGCCACCGACGCACTGATCACGGTTTACCAGTTCTTAATTCGATTACTGGTTGGAAGACTATTTTTGTAGTGTGTGCACAGCTAACGTCAATCAGGATAAGTATACTTATTACTCATAATAATATCCCTATCTTGACAGTTATAAATTAGCCATAATTGAGTCCTATTTGAGTAACTAGAACTTAATAACTCAACTATGCAAAGAAGGTTGGAGAGTCTGAGTTTGATGAATTACAGGATGTCACAATACACCTCTCTAATACTGACTTATTCCCTAGTAGATTTCATTTTATTATGAGATAAACTTCAAAGTATGGAAATATACTGTTAAGAAATCCAACGATTCTTACACTATTTTCATTTCTCACATCGAGTAAATATTGATTCTCAAGATATTGTGCTTTAAAGCTTTCAACTACCACTAAATTTATAACATGACAACGTATTCTACTGATTGATATCAGTAGTTGGAAATCATTCACATCAAATAGTAATGCTGCCAGACATATAGAAGTGATCCGGACACACAGCAGGCGTTTCTCTCGTCTAGCGCTGAGCTCACTAACGGTGTACTCCACCAGTTTCACTCAGCTTACAGAGACGAATCACTTCGAATCGTCCGGATTCTGGGCCGCTAATTCGGTGAATCGGTAGTACATAGGGTCAAATCCTTTGATAAGCTCAGATGCAGACGAGTGAAACAGAAGTTCAGTGTTTAGACTACTTCAATTTAGCTAGTAAGAACTACTGCCTGAAGTGAGTAGTTTTCAACTACACTGATCAGTCGGCAGTATATACCATCGTTCTATACTGCTTGCTTACTTGATTACCACTTATGGTATCAAGTAGATCACAGATTCTGTGATCTGAATAATTCTGGTTTCCAAAGGAAACTATGGTAATATGCCACTTCGAACTGTTTCATATGCGGCTTTAGAATTCGACCATCAATTTCAGATTTCAAACACGCATATTTACAGCGGCTGGTATTCTACAAACCAAGCAAAACTCTTCACTCTGATTTTCTTTATTTCATCAGACAGAAGATTTGATATCACTAGCTATTTATGTACATATATTTTGCGGTAAAAGTAGCTGTAGCTGTTCAGATAATTTCAGTCAGTCATGGAAATCGTTCCTGATTCAGTTGACTAAGTGACAAAATATAGTTTCCAATTATTATTATTATTATTATTGTTTCCTTTAATTCCTAGAGGAACATAGGGCTTCAGCCGTGCGTCTCCATTGCGTTCGGTTCTCTTCTAGAGTCTTCACCTGGCTCCAAGTCTGCCCATATGCTTTCATCTCCTCTTCACATGACCTCCTCCAAGTCACCCTTGCACTGACGACCAACTCGCCGCTTCCCTTTCGGATTCCACTTGAGCAATGGCTTGTCTAGTGATGTCACTTGATGGTTTCATTTCTCAGAGTATGGCCAATCCATCTCCATTTCTTCCTGCCTATTTGTTTCACAATCGGTTCCTGTTTGGTTTGCCCCCAGAGATCTCCGTTGCTGATCTTTTCTGGCCGGCCATCTGATCTTGAGTATTGAGCGAAGACAACCGTTAATGAAGGTCTGTAGTTTGTTTGAGATGCTCTTTATGACGCGCAGTGCAAGTCTCTGATCCGTATAGTAGCACTGACTGACTTCACATTGGAGTTGAAAATCCGGATCTTATTTTTGATGTTGAGTGCTGTTGACCTCCACACAGACTTGAGAGTAGTGAAAGCTTGTCTTGCTTTTCCGATTCTTGCTTTGATATCCTCGTAGCACAATTAAATAAAATATCACTGAGTACTCTTCATTTCCAAGCGACTTCTGATACTTTTTACTGCTAAAATCAACTGCCATCATCTGTTCACACTGATGCACAACAGTATTGAGGAGAGTGGGATTAGACACTTGATATGCCACGCATACCTGTTTATAAGTAGCACCCACTACATTATCACCGATGCAAATGCAACCACAAAGATAAACAGATATGATACCCATTGAAAGTGAAATTTTACCGAGTAGCATTATTATCCACTAATAGACTTCACTACTTAAATTGTGAAAATAGTAGTAAGCAAATCCTATTTTCTTTAAAAAAATGCTTAATTACATATTGGGTGTTAAAGTCATTAACCATCTATCATCATTGAAACTCTCCTGATATAACTCAGTCAGCACCAATACTACGGAATGGATATTGGTTACTTCTTAGTGATCAGTCAATGTATGCATTAAAGTCCTGTTTGATCCCAGTTGTCAGCGTTGTCAGCAGCTCAGTAGTGACGTCTTCGACTGCAGCCCTAAGTAGCATGGGCTCGAATCTCCGACTGGGGAAGGGTATTAGTTTCTTTCGACGTTTCAGATACTCCTTGTCAGTGAGTGTCAGCAAGCATGAAACCTGGGTGCAAGGCTTCTAACTATATAATACGACCACTTGATGAAGTTTGCCCAATATTACTTCTCTCAGTATTTTGAATAATATGCGTCAACAAACCTTAATTCTTCATTAAATATTTAAAACATCCAAGGTTTATGAACTCCCCTTCAAAATGTGATCACAGTCAAAAACACTTCATTACAAACTAATAATCTAGTGACAAAAAGTTACATTTTGTTGTTTAAAAACAGATTCAGTTGGTTAGTTGTCAAAAAAAACCCATAAATTATAAGTTAGTAAAATAAAATAATTACAATAGTTGTGTATCAGATACTTTGAATAAACAAGGAATAAAAGCTTTAAAAATATCTATACGCCAATAACGTCATCGTAGTAACGCAGGATGAGGTAACTAGAATCAGTCATTGGAGAGAGAGAGTCAAAGTAATGAAATCTTCTTCTCTGAGTACTTTTAATCTGTACTGCTTCTTATCCAAAAAATAAATAGGAAATACACATAACATACTCCAAGGTCTGGCTGACTGAATTAATAACTTCAGATGTTTGAGTTGTTAAGTTCCACAGTGTGATTACTTTTGAAGCGAGTAAGAAAGTAAATATATTTAATTCCTATATCATTGATGAAATTCGATCTGATATTATGGAATATGGTGCTACAATGAAGAAAAAAACATGGAATATAAAATTTCAGCAATAAATATGACTGAATACATTGTCTGTGAAATAATTAGAGATAGTCTCTTTGACTACTTATTAGTAGTATAAAATAATTTTCGAGTTTGACCATGAACTGACTTCAGTCAGTTCAGAGAACCATTGTAAACTAGCAGGGAGCACTGGACAGTTGTTTTGTCCTAGTTTGGGACTCTTCATCGCCACGAACCCATCTTCATCTCAGCAGGGATTAAGCCCAAAGCCTTTAAGTTACAAGGCTGGCTCGTTGATCATCCTGCCACTGGGACGGAATCCAATGGTCATCTCATCAATTCTAACTTACGGCAATTCGCCGTATTTAGTGTGACTAACAGCCAGTGTCATCGGCGAGTATTTGTGTTCACACCCAACTTGGTGGTCATGACTTCTCACTGTGACTTGAGGCAACTTCATCTTATCGTTAGTCACCAGTTAGCACTAACTGAAGTCAGTTCGTGGTCAAAATTGAAATCAATCAGCACTTGGAAATAAAACAGTTTGCAAACAAAAAACCAATGTGAAAGTGAAGCGGACAACTTATTTAAGATATGTGAGTGAAATACTGGAATTTAGATAAGCTTTGTGAAGTGGACGGATTATGATGGAGATACGTCCATGGAAGTAGATACCAAGTAGTCTTGACAAAAGCAGCGCTTAAAACAACCCGAAAATATTTGCGAAGTAATAAAGTATTGAAACTCGAGCGAAATCGCCATTCTAAGTCTTATCGTCCTCATGATGTACAACTGGGCGTAAATGTTTGGTTAACTAGGGGAAAGAGGATAATCGTTTAGCTAAATGAGGTGATGCGAATGAGTACTGTTTAACAGATACATTTTACTTGGAAATAACGGATTTCAGAAGGTGATCAGACAAAATTCGATGGTATCATGATCAAAGGAAATGTATTTAACAGTCAGATGCTAATTAAGTCGGTCAAGTAACGGAATGTGTTACATTTAGCCTCCACTTTTACTATATGAAATATTGGCTTACTTTCGTATTTTCTGTAATTAATTAGGTCGGTAAACGATCCATTTTTGCCTAATTTAAATAACGATAACTAATTAGGTTGAGAGTGTCGGTGGCACAGCGGTTAGAACGCTCGCCGACCATGCACATGGTCCGGGGTTCGATCCCCGGCCGACGCATACCTTTACCTCCCTAAACAAGAAATAAAGCTGGTAAAGGAGAAAGGTTGGGCATGAGGTTAGCAACCCTATCCTGTAAAAATAAACACTGCTACAGAAACTTCAAGCCTCTAGCTTGAAGCCCTATGTTCCACTGGGAACGTGAAGGAAAAGAAATCAGGTTGAGAAGACAATGGTGATGAAGATGCCTAACCAACAACAACAAGCATCAATCAACATCACTGGGAGAAATCTAAAGGAAGTCACCTCTTTCACTTACCTAGGAGGTACCGTTTCAACTACAGTTGCGAGACAGAGATGAGGATATCAAAACCAGGATCGGAAAGACGAAACAGACCTTCATTAATCTGAAAACGGTATGGGAATTCGTTGCACTCCTCGTGAGGAACAAGATTAAAATTTTCAACACTATTATCGAGCCAGTACTTCTATAGGCTTCAGAGACTTGATGAGTCATGAAAAGCTTCAGACTTTAATCAACAGCTGCCTTTGCTCCATACTGAAGATCAAATGGCCAGAAAGGATAAATAAGAAAACTTTGGCAACGAACAACCAAACTATCGCTCAACAAATATGAAGAAGGAAATGGAGATAGGTTGAGTTGACACTGAGGAGATCACTGAGCGATATCACAACCTAGACACGTCATTGAGTGGAACCCGGGATGGAAAATGACGAGTTGGGTGTTGGTTCGAATGTGGTATGTAGGAGATAGTGTGGGAAGGAAATGAAAACTTATTGACGATCAGGGGTCAGCTGAAAACACTTCAGAGAAGAGATTGAAATGAAGATATTCTGCTGAGGGCTTTTGTCCCATTCGAAAACCAAGGGAATAATAATAAAAAATATGATTAAAATGAGGAAATTTTTGAACAGGACGTCTTTCTAACCTTTTAATATGAACTCACTCCGACGTATATGTCTGAATCCTTCTTAGTGATAATTTGAAAATCTCTAAGTTGATACACATATTCCCAAACAAAATGCAGTTTTAGAAGCCTGATACCTATGAAAAATTATTGGGGATTCATAGGAATTCCAGGTTATAACGTGATAAATTTGTATCCACTAAGTTCCTAAACCAGCGAAATTTTCCATTAAATATTTTATACTGTGTAACAGTGGGAAGGGTTGCCCCAACTGCAAAAGCGTTATATGGATATTTTGTCAGTGTAGTTGAACTCATCAGATTATTGATATTCCATGACAGATGTTCATAGTCTTATTTCCACTCTATTACAAGATAAGGCGGTCTCAACTTGTGTGTACTGAATGGCTTTTAACATAATTGTCTATGAAAATTATGATTTTCCACCTAGAACTGTGTAATTTGCAAACGATGAATTTGATTTTGTGTATTACTTGTTCACCGAATCAGACAACTAGGATTCGGGTGATTTGAATTTATACCAGTCTCTGAGCCGAGTTAAACCAGTTGCGTACATCATGGATGAGCTCAGTCACAAATGAATGAAACGGCTGTTTGGTGTTTGAATCACAGTGATCTGACTACCAATGTAATACTTTTTTCATATGAGTGATTCTAAGTACTCAAATGAATTAGTTAGTAGTATACTGCGTGATTTGTTTTTAATTATTGTCCACTGTGTGAATTCCCACCTTAGGTTCGTGTGTCTAAAGGATCTTTAAATCAGTTACAGGATTTCATCATGAGCTGACATTAGTTAGAGAACCATTGGAAAACCTGGGAGTACTAAACAGCTGTTTCGTCCTAGTTTGGGACTCCTCACAGTACGCACCCACCGGGGTTCGAACCCAGGACCTTCTGGTTACAAGGCGAGCTAGTGAGAAGTCGTGACCAGTAGGGTGCAGCAGGTCGGGTGTGAGGACAAATATTCGCCGAAGATATTGGCTAGGGGTCGCGCTATGTCGTGAATTGGCAGAAGTTAGAATTCATGGGCCATTGGATCGGATCCCAGTGGCTTAGTGGTCTACGAGCTCGCCTTGTAACCAGAAGGTCCTGGGTTTGAACCTTGACGGTGGGTGCGTACTGATGAAGAGTCCCAAACTAGGACGAGATAACTTTCCAGTACTCCTAGGTTTTCGAATGGTTCTCTAACTAATGTTAGCTCATGACGAAAATCCTGTAACCAATCAAATCCCTACAAACCAACACTTGAATGTTGCTGATTAATTTGTGAGTGTATTCTAAATCATTTCTTTTAGTTATGATAAATGTATCATCAACATATCGTTCAGATTTTTGGTATGACTATGGGTAGAACTAACGTTTTCTAGTCTTTGCAAAGTGGCTTCAGCAATTAGTCTTGATATGGATGATCCTATCTATGTTACCTTTATCTGTTCAGATACCCGGTTACTGTACTGAAAATACAAGAAGTAACTCTGTGAGTTCCATCCAACTTGGACATTGTGCTTTTGTGGGTTCATCAATATAGATTAGTTGTTGCTTAGTTTCTTTTGCTAGGTTTTTCCCAATGAAGTTTATCATGCCTTAACGTTACTGTCATCCTGTTGAATGTTTTTGATTTTTTCTAAAAACTGGGTTGGTGAATTGACAGAGTGATGGCATAATTCCATTAGGTATTTTTGGAAAAGTTATTTGGATAGATTATATGCTGGTGTTTCAGGCAGCGAGACGACTTGTAAGGGATAGCTTGCATTGTGTAGTTTCGATCTACAATAAAGTTGAGGGAAGTCAGGTTCCTTTCTGTAATCTAGATTTCTGACTAGAAAATTCACACGATCTACAAATGAAAATCATCTGTAAATCATGAAATACTAGCCTGTTACTCATTGTGTAATTCATGAGATGGCACTGTGTTCATGGCTCAGGAGTCGTAAAGTATTCTGAATTACTATAAAAATTTTTTCGAACAATGAGCAAGATGTCTTGGAGATTAAAACAAAATAATGACTTGTTCAAAAAGCTAGAGTAAACAGATTACAGAAACACAGAGTAAATTAAATGAAGTCCTTAATTATTGAATAACTAATAAGTTCGAATTACCTAATGATGGGGGTGACCAAATGATTCACATAGAAGTAAACAAAAACACATTTTTATACAATCAAATATGTGTCATAAATTACCATAGTTACAGTGGTTTTTGTGCATTTAAACATGAAAATGTGTAAAGAAAGAAAAGAGAAGTTGATTTCATTTTTGTTTAGTGCGTTACATTTCGGTGCGCTAGTGAGTCATGTGCGAGTAACGTCATGTGTTCAGAAATACATATATATGTGCGTGCATGTACACAAATTACATTCTTACAGGTATGTCGACGATAGGCTGCATTCAACCATTTTACAAAGTATAAATCTAAACTAGGAAACTGAATATAAAAAAGACATGCAAATCAAATACAATACAATGTACGGTGGTATATACTACTGAATTATGTGAGTAGTTAAAAATCACTTTCATCAACCAGTACTGCTTGTTAAACAAATCAAAGTGATCTAAACACCAGACAACCGTTTCGCTCAATCGGGGCTGACATCATCGGAGGTGTATCCGGTCTGACTCAGTTCAGAGAACTGAATCACCTCAAAACATTCGTATTCCAGCACTTACTTGATTCATCAACTGGAAGTAACTCATTCAGCAAATGATCCTTTGATTGTTCGGAAAAAACATTTATACAAATAAGAAAGTGATACTTTCTGGTCTTAAGGTTGATATTAAAGTTCACACACCCACACATTAGTCCATTTTCAAGGCCTGGTTTGAATGTGACAGCATGTGGTTGTTTTCATTATAAGAGTTTCTTGGGGTAGTGGGTATGTGATACTAACTAACTTCACTTGAAACTCCCCGAAAGATTGTCACTGTTGGAAGCCACCAATAATGATAGCTGCTTATATCCCGTACAAGTGATAAACTCGGGAAGCTATTTACAACAGAAACCTAGTAATTTATTCCAAATGATTAAATACTAACCATTTCAAAATTTACTGACAACAACCTGTGGATGTCGTGAGTATTATCTAAGTTCAAATATTTGACGGAGTGCCAGTCACCTCAAAGCCGATGCATGTCTTATTGATCAGTGATATTAAGTACAAAGGCATGCATAAAGTACAGCATCCAACATCTAGCATCATACTATTAGAATAAAAATCAAAGGTAATGGAAGTTATCTTCCGTGAGAACAAACAGAGAAACTTGAATACTTTTAGAACCTATCTCCTCAAAGTTACCTGAATACCCCACTGTTTAAAAAAATCAAGTTATTCACTGTTTATTTTCCATCAATAACAAAATGGTTACACCAAACTATCAAGTTATAACCACTTGCACGAAATTAAAGGCAGAAAAGTCGCGATGAATCACAGATGTCCTCATTTTATTCGTAATAATCCAAGAGAAATTATACTCACTAACAGTTATGTGTAGTCCTAATGATGAGCAGAGTTTACCGGTTGAGACGAGCTTATTTGAAATAACATCACTTAGTTGTTTGTTACTGTGTGTTTTGTAATTAACAAAATATGCCGTTGCATGTAGCAGTACAGTAGGTTCGGAAACTGTAGGCGTCTTATAAAGTTACACATCATAACATATTAACAGTTCAGCATACAATCAATTATTTGAGATATTATCACGGCTTCATTTGGGAAGCGGAGATATTCATATCAGAATGTGTGAATCATTTGACACTGGAAATAGTATCATGAAATACAGTTTTTCCTATATACCGCTGACAGATACAAGCAAATGAAAGTGTGAGTAGTGTCCGACTATTTTTATGGTCATCCTAATCTGTTTGACAAGCACTCTAGACGATATCATCGAACGTCAACTAGTTATGCCAATCAGTAGTACATATATATTTGATTACTGTTCAAATTCTCAACTGAAAATATTCTTCAAGAAATTTCAGCTAAAATCGGTTGAAACAAAAGTAGTAAGTGGTAAAGCTTGAAAATACTCGGTTTACTCAAACCATCAGTTGCTTTGATATTTATAGGAGATATGCGGACAACACTTGCTATGTGCGATGGTGACGTAATACTTTATGGGATTTTGCTTACACTGAATAACTACTATCCTTCCTTATGGATCTCTTAAAAGATCCATCCACCGGAACCATACATGGAGTGGACAACTAACTAGTTTTCATAGCTGGGTACCTACCTCCAGGAAAAGAAACTTGATTCACCCACTCTGCTATAGGATAAGAAATATTTGTAGTCACGACTGCGTTGACGCAGAACTTTTTTTCCTAAAAGCCAGGCTTGCAGACGATGGTTATCCGAACCAATTTACTGACAAAAACATGAAAGATAAGCATTCCAAACTGGTCACTGACTCAGTTCAAAAGGAAACAATCTTCATGAACTTAGAATTCAAAGGTGATAAGGCTTCACATATCACTTAAAAACCGTCTCTCGAAATCAGTCATTCAGATGCTCTTTGCGGCGAAACCTCGAAGTTCACCGGCCATAATTTGATCTCTGTCTCTGTAAAATATAAGCTTCCTCGTTTGGCCGCCATCATATATATCAGTCAGTTCACCTGCTGTTGTGGAGCAGGTACACAGACCGTAACCAAAGAATGCTGGGCATACAGATACGAGAATACATTCCAGCATTGTCTCACAAGAGGATAACGAAGATTGCGTGAAGTTCTATTCTAGAATAATTGATCAAATTACGCCACTCAATTAATCCTGACTGTGACTTACGATCACCTATCTTAATTCATACTAACGTGTGCCATTTCCTCTGTTCCGAACTTCTAAAGATAGAGCAGGTCGTATTTACACCTTCGTTTAAATTTCCCTATGGGATAGAGTTTCTTAAAATCCGTACATATACGATTGTGCGTATTATTTTATTCATTGCGTTTCCAGTGGAACATAGAGCTTAAAGCTTGAGCTTTGAAGTTTCCGTAACAGCGGTGTTGTTTTTACTGGGTTGGGTTGCCAGCCTCATGCCCAACCTTTTCCCTCTGTCAGGCTTACAACCGGCTAAGGGAGGTCGAGATGTGCGTCGGTCGAGCATAGAACTCCGGACCAGGTGCATGGTTGGCAAGCATTCTAACCCTGAACCACCGATGCACACTTGATTGTGCAGATTGATAATAAATCTATCGAACAGATTCTCTTCGCTGAATATTGTGTTCCTAATGCTACAATGAAAATTACTAAATTAATTTTATTTATTATAGAAAATTTTTCACAGTCTTCTTAGGTTAAAAAATACTCACTGGAGTTAAGCAAATATCTGGAAAGACTGAATTTTCTGCAACTACATGCTGTGAACTGAGGCTTCTGATATCTTCATATGGAGAAGTATTACAGTTTGTAGATAATGGACGAGATATAGGTGAGCTGTATATCTGCTTTTTCATTTGAGGTGATGCACAGTAGCCTGAATTCTGTTTCTTTCCAATTGTTTTATTGATGTCACCAGAATAAAAATCGGAAACTAGTTTCCGTGACGGAAATATTGGACTTCTTTTTTCATTTTTCAAAAGAAGATGAAAGCAAGAAAATGTAAACTCTCTAAAGAACCTTTGAAAAGGTAGAATGATACTTTTCGCACATCAGTGATACACTTCAGAACCTACAAAGAAATTTGTAAGTCATACTTACCTATCCTACAGCTAAATTGGTTCCCATCTATCGGATAATATGCTCATAGGTGCAATCAAAGGTTGACATATACCCTTCTAATGTTAACTCTAACTGTGTAAACAAATTTACATGTATTCGCGGTAGCAGTTACACTAGGAGAATAGAAAGAATGGTAAACCTTCAATTTTCTGAACATGTACCAAAATGCCTACGTCTCATGGAAACAAACGCTTACAGCAGTGCCATCATTGCCAAGTGATCAGGTGGACATCATGAAAACCTTTAAAATTATCAATAGGCAAAATAGTTCACTTCTCCCCCTAAGTTCGCCAAAGCAGTCATTATCAAGGGCCTGACACCTGGTTTATGTTTTCAGAAAGAAACAGTCATCAGTCTTTCCTTGCACTGGCAACTGGATGTCTTTGCTCCCTTTCAAGTTATCTTCCACCTTAACATCTTCCTCTTTGCTATGATGTAATTTTGTTTGTCTTCTGGTTTTCCGATTTCATTTGAACTCAATATATTGTTACTCAACTTGTTAGTTACTTATCACCTTGTCCACCTCTCATCTTTATTATGCAACCCCTTTGCCACTGTACTTAAGCACTCATTCTTTTTACCTAAACTTGAACCTTCTTTGTATGAGCTATATAAGTGCAATCTGTGAGCACCTTTTATTAAGTTTGGATTTTCTGGCCAACTGACATTGTCACATTTGCATGTTAGAAGTGCTCCGTACGTAAGCCTAACTGATTTCTCTAGGCTGTACGTAGCTGATGAGAACCCAACGAAATAAATGTTGGTGCCATTTTGTTCTGTATAAATCTTTGTTCTTGTTTTATTCGAATTCATAAAGGGAGATAAGTGCATGAGATTTATGAAAAGGTAGAATGATATATTACGTGCATCATTATTACACCTTATAATCTTCAAAGTTACTTTCGAGTCCCACCTTACATGAAACTAGATCTATCCTTTGGACGACTGGTTTACGCAGCAGTCACGAAGACTAGGGATTTTATCTAATCTCACTTACTGATATGAGGTTGGTACTGTCATTCAAAATTTGTTGAAGTTACCTAATGGGACATGGCCTTCATACGGGATTGGATTACTAGCAACATGCCTAACCTTTCCTCGTTACCAGACCCCTTGACGACTAGGTGAAGCTTAGGGGTACGTCTGTCAGGAATCGAGCCCGAATATATATATATATATATACCACTGTATATTTTGAATAAATATTTGTTGAAAGAAGTCTTATTGGTAAATATTGTGTTCTTAAGCAATCTCCCAGTGCGTTGGCGTTTCACTAGTAGAGTGCTCGCCAACCACGCGTCGTTCGGGCTCGATTCCTGACAGACGTACCCCTAAGCTTCACCTAGTCGTCAAGGGGTCTGGTAATGAGGAAAGATTAGGTGTGTTGCTAGTAATCCAATCCCGTAAAATTAACAAAATCCCTACTGAAGCTCTATATTTTGATTTGAAAAGTCAGTCTCTGAATATGCTAGATAATATTATCAAAAACTGGACACTTAATACGTAAATTTAGTCTTCTTTCTACTCACTGCTAGACTCTACAACGTTCACTTCTATTTTTATCCTAGTCACTTACAATCGATAAACTCAGTAGGTGGTAAGAATAAAAAAACTGTTTGAATAATTTTCACTTTTACTAACCTTACTGTACAAATATTTTCATGAAGTGGTTTTCTTATTCCAACACTTGGAAACTGTGACAATAAATTCTCAGCACTCCTCTTATTCATTATTGTGTTGAATGGAAGTGAACATAATTCTGGAGTTTTACTGCAACCATTTCCAGGCAGTTCAACCAGAGGAGGAGTAGCTGTCTGTTTCTGCAAAAATGCAAAAAATATAAAAGAAGCAGTCTGGTTTCTCTTATATATATTGTCAAGTCAGTAAGACAATATGTACTATTGATCGATATAAGTAGCTGGAAAGAATTCACATCAACCAGTGTTGTTTGTTAGCCACCATATAGAAGTGGTCTTAACACAGAATGGCTATTTCACCATCATGGATTTATGCTTGTTCTTGTGATCGTCATGTATGGTATCAATAAGATCTGTTTGATTTTGATTTCCAAATGAAACTGTCGTGAATTTTTCATCTCGAAGCTTGTAATGTGTGAATTTGAGTCATTGGGGAGAACTTGATCAGAAATTTCAGATGACTACCTTTAAATTACAAATCTTCTCTATCATTTCAAGTCCCTACCCTTTTTCCCTTAGTACTTCACTAAGACAAATGAATATTTCACAGAAATTAACCCAGGGACATATTATGACTCGCATTATTTTCTGAGTGGAACATATGGCCTCAGTAGAATATCTCCATATTATGCCGTTTTCTTCAATCCTTTTTAGCTGGTTTCGCGATTGCCCATATGCTTTTATTTACTCTTTTCATAATCCTCTCGATGTCACTTTTCGATCAATACCAAACCTTTCGATTCTATTTCAGGTCCCACTCGAGGACCGACCTGGTGTATAATTCCACTCGACGGTCTCCTGAGTGTGTCCCACCTATCTCTACTTTCTTCTGTCTATTTGTTGGGCAATAGTTTCTTTGTTAGTTCATTATCAGAGTCTCATATTGCTAATATTTTCTGGTCTGTTATCTGCTTCTCACTGTCGAGTGAAGACAGCTGTTGATAAAAGCCTGAAGCCTAATAGAAATGCTTCTCCTGACGCGTCAAGTCTCTGGACTATGCAGAAGCAGTGATTCAACAATAGTGTTGAAAATCCGACTCTTGTTCTTTATGCTGAGTGCAGAAGAGTTCCACACTGATTAAGGGTGAATGAATGTCTGCGTTGAATTTCCAATACTACCTCTGACATACTCATCCATGATGTTGCCTGTAACTGAAATGACAGTGCTGAGATAAGCGAAAGGAGTGACTTCCTTCAAGTTCCATGCGTTGACTGTGGTTAGCGCTTGTCGTTGTGGATCTGTGGGTATCTTAATCCATATGTCTTCTACATGTCCGCTTGAAGTCCTGGCCTTGCTGCTTCGTCTGCCAAATTGTTAATGTTCTCCTGTAGATCTTCAAGTCTGTGTGACATTAGACGTAAATAACCCACGAAGTCCAGATCTTCCAGTGTCTTCTCATCTGTTCAGCGTATTCCTGTTTTCTCATTCTCTATGGTTCATTGCATGATTCAGTCTATCACAGTTAGAAATATCATGAGTGATAGTAGACAGCCTTGTATTGCTCCTATTCTCACTTCAAAGGCTTCGGTGAGTTTTTTTGGTGTGGATCACTTGTTATGTGGCATCTTCAAATATCTGTTCAATGAGGTTTATTCAAGTTTGCATACTGCACTTCATAGTGTTGAAGCAGTTTCCAAGGCACTTCATGGTCAACACTGTTGAAGGCCTCTCCAAAATTATGGCTTCAGTGAATTGTTCTATTGTTGGTTCTATTTTACAGCGTTCAAAGTGGAACATAGGATATCAGCAGAGAATCCCTATATTACAGCGATTGTTCACTAGAGAGTAACTAATGTCATGAATCTAGTCCTTGGTGTTGATGCAGACTGGATTCTCTGATTCAAGTCTGCAATGTATTTACGAAGTTAGACGACTAGTTATCGTAGTGCACTCCGAACCAATGTTGGTTAGTTGAGCGTACTGGCCAGAAAGCTCTGAACGTAGGTTTCGTGCTTACTGACGCTGGTCATCAAGACGTACTTGCAACCATGAAGAAACTCGCTTTCTTGCTGAGTTGCGAACCCACATCACCCAGTCAAAAGATTACCTTCTGTTGGACTAACGGATCTACTGACTGGTCAGAAGGAATTGGCTAATGGCATGCGTCAGGCCGTCGAGTGGAACGCGAACAGGTAACAACGAGTTGAGCAGGGAGCACAAGGTGAGATGGAGGAGAAGCGTGTGGGGGGATGAAAGCTTATGAGAAGTCGTGGAGCCAGCTAAACAGGATTGCAGAAAAGAGGATGAAACAGAGATGTGATGCAATATACATCAGACAAACATCTCGAGAAATCAAAATCAGAAGAAATGAACACCGTAGAGCATCTCTTCGACCACCGAGAAATCCAATTGAACTGGAAAAACTTGAAAAATCATCAGCCATAGGTCTACACGCTATAGAATCAGGTCACAAAATTGATTTTGACAATATTGAAATAATCCAGAAAAACTTCAGAAATCACAAAGAACGTCTAATATCATCAGAAGCACTTCATATCAAGTGGAATCCAAATTGTCTGAATAGGAATGACGGACTAAAACAGAATTTAACATGGTTACAGCACCTCCCTCCCACATGAAGTGACAAAATCAACACGAATGTGATAAGCAAGTTCACTATGTAAACACACGCTGCTTTTATAATTTTACACACTGATCAAATCCAACAATCTACACTTGGTTTTGTTATCTTTACCAAATGACCAACTTGACAACGGAAAATGACCCCAGACTGACGAACGATGATCAAGTTAGTAAACTTTATTTTGATACCATAACAGATGTACTATTACCTTTGTTATTTGGTTCAGTGATCTTCATTGTTATTTTGACTTTCAATATGTCCCCTTTTTAACTTGACCTAAGTCTATTTTCTCACCTCTTAACTCTTTGTTACATATATGCTGAGATTTTGTAAATTCCGGTTTAATAATACTTTGATAAAGCTATTAGCATTAAATAGCTAAACGTCAGTAAAAACAAAATCGTTTTGTTTTTCATTCATTGGGAAATACAAAAAATCCCTTATTATAATGAATATCATATACCCAATGCCCAAATTTTTTCAAACTGTTAAAAGTGAACTTGGTTTGGACATGTATAACTTAAGCTCTATATTTCAGTCGGAACCTCGGGGAATAATAATGACAATAAGATAACACAGAATGATCTTCGAAAACTAAAAAGTAAGTTTATTACTGAAATTAATCATTTTTACCAAATACCTTCCACATAAAATGTATGATTCGATTGAATACATAAATGCAAAAAAAAAACTAAACTGTTTCTGATTCATTTAAAACTAACCTGCTGTAGACTATTTCGCATACGATTCAATTGAGCTTTACGCGTCTTTATTATCTGTTTCTTTTGTACTTCAATCTGTTTACGTGTTATATCACGCAGTTCAGTCAAATTTTCAGATTGCCATTCTAAGTGTTCTTGTTGCGATTCAATCAAATCGCATATTCTTATACAATAAGCTGATAATTTACCAATAACTTCAATCATTGGATCTATCCAGCTAAAAGTGCAAATCACAAAAATTAATGATCGATAAATGACTGGACAACAGAAAACACTTGAGAAAGTGAATAAATTAATACAGATGAGAGGATGACAACTAAGGCATAGTTTACGCATAAATTCCCATAAATTCCGATAAATTTTTCGTTGATATTACATGCATGAAGGTAGTCGGCAGGAAGCCACGAACAGAGGCTTCGTACTTGTTACCACTAGTCGGTAAAGTGTAACTACAACTTCTAAGGAACTGTCGTCCCACCCTGTCGGAGATTAGAACCCGTGTCACCTAAGGCCGCAGTCACAGACGTTACGACTGAATTAATCGGACTCATGGTTGACCTCTTTCACTACCCTCAAGTCTGTGTGGAGGTCAACAGCACTCAGCATCAAAAATAAGATCCGGATTTTCAACTCCAATGTGAAGTCAGTCAGTGCTACTATACGGATCAGAGACTTGCACTGCGCGTCATAAAGAGCACCTCAAACAAACTACAGACCTTCATTAACAGTTGTCTTCGCTCAATACTCAAGATCAGATGGCCAGAAAAGATCAGCAACAGGGATCTCTGGCAATGAGCGAACCAACGCAGGAACCGATTGTGAAACAAATATGCAGGAAGAAATGGAGGTGGATACTCTGGGAAATCAAACCATCAAGTGACATCACTAGACAAGCCATTGCTCGAGTGGAACCCGAAAGGGAAGCGACGAGTTGGTGGTCCAAGGGTGACTTGGAGGAGGTCATGTGAAGAGGAGATGAAAGCGTGTGGGCAGACTTGGAGCCAGGTGAAGACTCTAGCAGAGAACCGAACGCAATGGAGACGCACGGCTGAAGCCCTATGTTCCTCTAGGAATTAAAGGAAACAATAATAATAATGGTTGACCTCATTTCGGACTTTAATGGATGCAATGACTGGTCATTAGGGAGTAACTAATATCGTGTGACTGCTATTCTATCAGTTATTGAAGAAAATCCCTATTATTTAGAATTCAGACAAAATAGTTCACTGTTCTCGCCTGGTAAACTAAAGTCAGTGCAGCACAGAAAGGGAACATTTTCCAATTCTGATTATTCAGCGGAGTTCTGTCGCCTACTTGAATGACTAATGGATGTATTCATGGAAATCAGTGGAATAGATGGTTCATCATAGATAATCTTGAACTAGTGACGGTACTGGTTGTTTATAAATGGCTAATTAAGCATCTACCACAGCTGATTTCCACTGACGTCATAGCTGGAAAAACTGCTAAGCTGTGAAACACATTATAAAGTACTTCTTATCTGATTTGTGAACACCTTTTTAGGCTTTAATTTTATCGCTAAGTCTGAGTATGTAGTAATCAAGAATGAATCGATTTAAGAGTTGTATAAAATAATTTTTTGATATTTACGACTCTTTAGCTTATTTGCTGACCGATATTTTAAATTATCTGTACGAAGAAAAGATGTTACTTGATCAATGCTGACCGGCGAAGGTGGCGTATGTCATCCTATTTGATGCTGGTCATCTGGATGTAACGTCATCCCTGAGAGTGGCAGACATTTGAGCTCGTATGCCATAAATAAAGCTGATCGATTCGGTTCAAGTCATACCCGTTCCCAAAAGGTGGCCTTAGTGATAATGATTTGGCATTTAAAGTGATGGTTGGTGGATGTGAGTTCCAGTAGCAACACTATCACTCGCTGGCTGGCATTTATATCCAATTTAAGGATCCCAAATGGGACGAAACATGCATTTTGAATTTCATTGCTACCGACCACTACAGAATTATCTTCATGGCAATTTCACAGCATTCTTTAAAACTGTAATGCATTTAAAATTGTCTTGACTGAAATCTTTGCTTTATACCTCAGTGAGGATTGTCAATTAATTCGTCAAATATAAACCTATCCGAAGAATTCTGCACTATACTGGTATGATGAATGCATGCTAAAATCCTGCAAGGCAAGAGTTATAGTCACCTTCAACTACACTGGTAGAAAGGAGAAGAACCATCAGAAAAAACATGGGTTCAACTCTTGGTGGAATGAGAGTGGAACGTAGCTGATTTTTAATTTGTGATTATCTCATTCGACAAAGTTATATTGTTCATTAAATTACACTTCTTGGATTGAATTATTTACCTATTTAAATCTACTCACTATTAAAAGTATTTAAAGCATTTCCACATCTAAAGTCATTCAAAAGTTTTCTGTTGTTTTAGGCTTCAGCTAGAAGCATTTACAGAAAAAATTATGGTAGCAAGTGTGAATAAACCGGATACGAACAGTATAGAAACGAGAATGTCATTGCAGTGGAATAATTGTTTGGAAAATCCTTCATGAACGAACCATCTACAATATTTACACTTATTTCGATGTCTCAACTAACTTATTATCTGTTTCTCTCCTAGACTGTATGTCACTGCTCTCACATTGGCATATCATATGTTCACTTGACCCTTATTATTTGCCTCTGTCCCTCTTCAGTCACCAATTTTAATGCTTCTCCTTCTGGTTGTGCCATACATTGATAGTGTGCCATTTTACGATGTGATTTTGTCTGGGTTCTGATATGAGACTGTATGTGGGAATTGTTGGTGTGTGATTCTTGCTGACAGAGTTCTGATCCCACCTTGTTGGAAATATTCTACTTCATTCTCACGTGCTTCTTACGGATGGATTTCGGTGAACTAACTTCGTTCTGAATTACTTGCTTTCTACTGGAATATTAACTAGCCTGTGTGGCTGACTAACGGCACTGTTGAGGTAATTTTGACTGGAAACACATAGATCTTGCGACGAATGACCGTGGTTTTGATATCTTTGGAGATTTTGTGACTATGTGTGTGTCCTGGGGAAGTTTCGGTCAGCTATACAGTAGGACACAGATTTTGATGTTTCCTGCATTCAGACCATTACGAGTAGGCTTAGGTCGTAACAGCTTCAAACTAACCGTTTAATATCAACAATCTCGAATACTTAGTAGAGAACTTCCCAAATAGATTCGAATACTCAATATTGAAGATTTCAATCCTTTCATAAAAGACGGGTTGATCAGTATGTAGTAGGAATGAAGGTCGATGAACTAATCTATACTCCTTTCTGGTACGCTATACTAACTAAATGGTGCCTACCAATCAAATATAAACCTTTAGACCATTTGATGCAATGTGAAGTTTATGAGTATTGATTTGAAATTATGCTGATCTGTAGACGTTTTGGGCGTTGATACTTTCATACAGCTGCGTGGTGTAATAGTATGGCATTCATTTACCTCCCAAACAACATCATCAGCACTAACTCCATTACAAAATTAGAATCAAAAGTCTAAGCAGTACATCAGAAGTCGATAAAAATGAAATTGAATGGACAAAACACTAAATCATGCATAAAAACCCAAAACAACGAAAACAACGATCATTAAGTGGGCAGAAGCAACTTCAACTCTTTGAAAGTGTTTCCATATTACATAAAAATGTCCCTAAATAATATGTGTAGAATAATGATAAGGAAACTAAAATTCTAAGGCGAACATTATCTTTTGCTTCGAAAGTTTACTATCATGCACGTCACCTTCAGTTACCATTAAGTGAAAAGACATGACTAGTTACAGGATTTCATCATGAGCTGACACTGGTTAGAGAACCGTTGGAAAACCTGGGAGTACTGAACGGCTGTTTCCTTAGCCTAGTTTGGGACTCTTCGTCAGTACGCACTAACCGGGGTTCGAACCCAGGACCTTCTGGTTACAAGGCGAGCTCGTAGACCATTAAGCCACTGGGACCCAATCCAATGGCCGCATGAATTCTAACTTTTGCCAATTCACGACATAGCGCAACCACTAGCCAATGTCTTCGGCGACTATTTGTCCTCACATCCGACCTGCTTTACCCCATTGGTCACGACTTCCCACTCGAACCCTAGGTAACTACCTACCTGAATAGGGCCAGTCACCGGCGAGCATCTCATTGATATTCAAGTATTGGATTGTAGGGATTTGATTGATTAGTTACTCGCCGAAGACACTGGCTAGCGGTTGCGCTATGTCATGAATTGGCAGAAGTTAGAATTCATGGGCCATTGGATCGGGTCCCAGTGGCTTAATGGTCTACGAGCTCGCCTTGTAACCAGAAGGTCCTGGGTTCGAACTCCCTTGGTGGGTGCGTACTGATGAAGAGTCCCAAACTAGGACGAAACAGCTGTTCAGTACTCCCAGGTTTTCCAACGGTTCTCTAACCAGTGTCAGCTCATGATGAAATCCTGTAACCAATCAGTCAAATCCCTACAATTCAATACTTGAACATGACTAGTCAATTGGACTATTGATTAAATATCAGTATACTTATGGATTTCGACTTTTCCTTCGTTCAGTACACCTTTCAAATATTTCTCCATGCATGAAGTGATACTAAAGCTTGGCGATCTGCAGGTTCTGTTAGTTCAACCAGTGAGTGGTACACCAAGTCGTAATATGAAAGCGACTCATTTGAATTCTGTTGCAGCTTAGATCTTCTTTTCTACTTCGATCACCAACCTAATAGGCACAAAAATCACTGCTAATTAGCGTCAGTACTACAATATATTTCTCTAAAATGAAGTGTCTTAAAGCAGTTCATTACCTTTTAACAACTAAATTATTCTCCGATGAGTTTGCAATTCCTTCATTCTCATACATTAATTTCATTTGATAAGGTGTCCTGCTGCGTACTGAAGGCACTTCAACATCTTTATTGTGGATATTTAACAATTTACTGAAACGACCACATTCACGATTGCCAAATTTAATGATACCATTAACAGTATTGTTGAATAAATGAATTAGCGAATCGTAATCATGACCTAATTGATGCATGTTCACTTGTAGTTGGGACAACTTATTCTCATAATTTTCAATTGCCTTCTTATGCTCTTTCTCCTTTAAACATTGTGAACTTGTATTGGATGGAATTATCTGAAAATGCAATGAAAAAAATGTTTAAAGCGATTAGTTTCCTTTATGAATTTCGACGAAACAATAAGAAGATGTAATTTATCTGAAACGTGTAATGTATTTGCTTAATAAATTTCGGACATTCCGATCACACAGGTACTTTGATTGGACACTAGTAACTAGTGTCCAATCAAAACACAAAAATATCCAATACAGCCCTACAGGAGGTGAATCACGAACCTGAACAGCTCAGTGGTAACGTCTTTGACTGCAGCACTGGGTGACGTGGGTTCGAATCTCAGAAGGGACATGAGTTCCTTCAAGGGTGCAGATACGCCTTGCTGACGAGTGCCAAGTAGCACGAAACCTAGGTCCAAGGCTTCCTGCCGATTGCCTCCAACCATCTTATATCACACAGGTACTCTTCAGACATATTTGTATAAACAGGCGTTCGAGTATAAAGGATTGCGATTCTTCATCAGTATATAGCAAAATGTTTACAGGTCAAGGTCACAAATTTTTTTTATTCCTTTACTTTCCGAGTGGAGCATAGGGCTTCAAGCTAGGTCTTTGAAGTTTCGGTAACAGTGGATTTTATTACTACAGGGTGAGGTTGATAGTTTCACGCCCAGCCTTCCATCTTTGCCGGCCTTACTACCGGCTTAGCGAGGTTCAGGGGTACATCGACCAGGGATTGAACTCCGGGCCGTATGTATGTTTGGTGACCATTCTACCAGTAAACCACCGATGACTGCATATAAGGGGTAAAAAATGAGGCAAGTACAAAAGGGGTGAAAATATTTAGTAAAATGGACCTTGGTTCTAAAATTGGATTACCAAGGTAGGTTCAAAGTAATGACAATTAATTTTGGGACACTTTAAATGAGTTTGGGTCTTTTCACAGCTAAGGCTTCAACGCATTTATGCGATCCAAACTTGTTTTGTATATGGATTTAAAGGCACTATTGAAATCTACGTTGTGACCCACCTTTACGATGTGCTTTGCTATAGATAATGTTGGACGCCTATTTCCAGGACTGATTGAGTCAAGTGATTTTATTTATTCTTGTAGCCGTTCAGGAATGTGTTCTGTAGCTCTGACCTGCAGATATCGGTGAATCCTCTCTCTATATATGTGGCTATATACAAGTGAAAATTGGTAAACACAGTGGGATGTGACACTATCGTTCGGATGCTGTGAGGGTTTACGGGACAACATAAATCTCTCTTTCTCTATGATAGTGAGTTCTGTTGAATGCTTCTCTGAGTCTTTTTTAGTGGTTGGACTTTGGTAGCCATCCCTGAACGGCAAAGATATAAAAACATACCTTCTGGGAGCTGGTCGGATTGGTGGAGGCCTTTGTTTGACACTTATAGCGTTTGATGAATTTCAGGGGACAGTTATTACCAAATAATATTTTAGTGGGGTTTCGCATTTCTTCTACACTGATATCTTCTTTACATGTATGTTGAATACGTCTGAACAAGCAATTAACCAACTCCTTTTTATACTACAGTGGACGGAAGCTATTGATAATTTAGATACTGTCCTGTCCAGGTAGGCTTCCTATAGAAAGATAGTCTTATTGATCCATGTTGTCGGCGAGTTATGAGTACATCCAAAATGTCAAATGGTCGTTGTTTTCTCCAACATATGTTAACGATACGTTATCATGTACTGTGTTCATTCGGTTTACAATTTTGGTGTGGTGTATAATACAAAGTGGGAATTTTGCTTTGTTTTATTGTGAAGTCACTGAAGTTAGACACTACATACTAAAAAGGGTGCATTCTCTTCACTGAAACTTATCAAAAGTGAAAATTCCCTACCCCAAGCACTGCCTAATTTTAAGCAGTCAAATCTTGTACTCAAGAAATCCTCTCAATAAATTTCAAACTTGAAACCAGATCTCTTCAGTTTTAACTTATGAATAATCCCCATCCAGGCATTAATGAGGTAACACTTCGAAACAAACCTCGCATGGAGACAAAATAGCTAGTTAATTGCCATTGTGGTGAGTGCTACTTATAATCCGATATAAGTAGTATATCAGAAACGAATTCAGAAAAGTAACAATATGTTTCGCACACTGGAAAGAGCAATCAAAGAAGAGAACCATGAGAAGAATGTTGCCATATAATGCAGAATCCAAGAAGCTATCGAATGTGACGATATTTGACCAATTCATCAAGGATATGGTAAATGATGTGCAAATGGCAGTTTGAAAATATGGTATACCAAATTTACCAATGCACAATACGTTTCACCAGGTGACTGACCTTTCCTGAACCCCATGTGAAGAGCAGAGCTCATAAATGTACCCATCGATGCCAATACTGAACCTTTTGCTAATTTGTATTAAACCTCTAACTTTTTCTCAGCAGCCATAATGCTATGATTACTGCTATTATTATCTTTTCTGTAATTAGAAGTAGTTGTATAGAGTATTTTGAACACAGTGACACTTGTTTTAATTAAGTAAATCCAGAATTTCTGTCGACTATAAGACCAAAACTTTTATAAGCCTCATTCAGTAATTACATGATGGTACCACATACTAAGTGATTCACAAAGGAAGACCCATTGAAGACGGGGGTAAGACAAGGCTGCCTACTATCGTCGATGATATTCCTGATTGTAGTGAACTGGTCCGTACAAACGACCGTTGAGGGTGAGATGAGTATACGCCAGACCGATAGAAAGACTTCATAGAATCTAGACTTACCAGGCGGTTCATGTCTAATGTCTCATAAACTCGAAAGTATACAGCCGAAAGCCAACGAGTTGGCTAGTATCTGTTTCTTCCTAAACAGCAGCAGCAACAACAACAAGTATCAGTCACCGCCAACATCAGCAAACTAAAGGAATTCATCTTCTTACTGAGGCAGCATCGTTTCAAAAATAGGCGGCGCAGATGAAGATTTCAGAGGCAGGGTCAGGAAAGCAATACAGACGTTCATTACTATGAAACCAGTATGCGAAACCACTGTATTCATCATAAAGAATGAAGTCCAAATCTTTAAGATTAGTGTCAGTTCATGGCTTCTGTATGGTCTAGAGACACGACGCATCATGGAAAGCGTTTCCAACAGTCTGCAGACTCTCTATCGACAGCTGCCTTCCTCTATACAGAAGATCAGATGGTTGACCAGAAAGGTTTAGCAACAAGGAATTCCGGCAATGAACCAATGAAAGACCTATCGTCTTAGAAATATGCGCAAGGAAATGAAGATGGATAGGGCATATTCTGAGGAGGCTATATTTAGTGATACTGCGTCCCAAGCTGGCCGTCAAGTGGAACCCTATTCAGAAACGACTAGATGGACTCGCTTTGAGAGTGACATGAAGGAGAAGTGGAAGCTTATGAACAATCGTTGAGAAAAAACATTATCGAGAAACAAATGAAATAGAGATAGGTTTCCGAAACCCTTTGTTTTAATCGGAATTAAAGAAAATGAAGGACTGTGAAGTCTGTGTGTGGTCATAAAGTAGACAGTCGCCCAGTACACACAGTCAGCAAGACATTTACTTGTTAAGACAATTAACAATATGCATTGGTGGTTTATTGGTAGAATATTCGCCAACTGAGCACATGATCCGGTTTCGATTCACCACCGACGCATTCCTAAACCTCTCTTAGCAAGTATTAATCCAGATAAAGAGACGGGGTTGAGCATGGGGCTAGCAAACACACTCCGTAAAAAACACCAACGCTACTGAAACTTCAGAACTTAGGCTCCAATTTCTACATTCCACACGGAACTCAAAGCAATGAGAAAAAAAACATATTTAGCTTATCTAAACAATATTCAACAACTTACATCAAGTGGTCCAGTCGAAGTACCCGTAGACTTATTATTAGCACTTGTTAAATCCTTTAATTTCAACATTTTATTCCCACCATCAGCTGAATAATCCAAAGATGGTGAACGCTGAGTTGAAACATTCTTTTTACCATCCAAATGTTTATTTGATGTACTGACTTCTGTTGGGATGAAATGAATATCAGTTTGTACCTGTTGATTGGATAACTTTTGTCTTTGCGTATTTTGAATACAATTTTCCAATGTATCAATATAACATGTGAGTTGTTTATTCAGTGATTGAATATCCTGATATGGTTAGTTTATGAAGCATAGAAAAAAAGTGTAGAAATGAAGTTGACTGAAGCGATAGTTTCATGTTTTTTGAAAGCAGTTTGTCAGTCTCTCACCTTTTCTGTACTACAGAACTAACGGCATACTTCCGTTCCGGACTGGACTACGTCAACTCTTAGCTTAGTGATAGGGAGTGAAGTGATAGAACATGTTGATCACTTCACCTATTTGGGAAGTTGTATCAGCACCAACGGATCGATTGGTGACGAAATCTCAGCACGGATCCAAAAAGCTTGAGCTGCTTTCGCTCACTTACACCATCTCTGGCGGAGGCGTGACATCCGGCTATCAACCAAGAGACGTGTGTACTGCTCAACAGTTTGCTCCGTCCTTCCCTATGGCTCTGAAACATGGCCAGTACGAGTTGAAGACATGAAAAGGTTGACTGTTTTCGATCATAGATGTCTACGATTTCTTTCTCACGTTAGATGGTATAATAAGGTAAGTAATGTTGACGTTAGGCGTAGAGTGTTGGGCAAAGAGGGAAAATCAATCGAAGAGGCTATAAAGCTACATAGATTGAGATGGCTAGGTCACGTGCTGCGCATGCCTAACCATAGTCTCCCCCAATTTGCATTACTAGCTGATATAGGTGCAGGCTGGGAAAGAGTAAGTGGTGGCCAAACAAAAACATGGCATCAATCCATGAAATCCTTGGCAGTTAAACTGAGTCAGGTAGGGAGATGCAGACTTCCGGGTTGGGGCCCTCGGGACTCTAAGAATCAATGGCTGGAGACAATAGGTGACATGGCTGAAAATCGTTGTCAATGGCTCACGCAGATGTATTCAATCTCTGTAATCTTTCATATTCCTTTCTACCATTACTGATTCTGTTTCACTCTTCTACTTGTCAAAACTCTATTGATTCTCTTCACTCATCTTCTTGTCTACCTTTGTGTGCTCTTTGGAACGTGGCAACTGGAACTGCTGCACTTCGGTGACAAGTTCTATGTTGAATCCAGCCAGCAGCCAGTCCGTTCTACCCTTACTAACCCAGCTTGGCAGTGTTTAGGAATGAGTTTTACAAGTGGACTTATGGTACTGCCGATGTACTCAGGATGTAGACTGGTATGTGCATTATAACAGCGATCCGGTTTTGATTCCCGACCGACTCAGTCCTATAATTCGCATAGCCGGTAGTAAGCCCGGTAAAGAGGGAAGCTTGGGCGTATGAGTAGGAACACCACTACCAGTACTGAAAGTTTAAAGCCTGAAGCCTGATACTCCACTCGGAACTCAAAGAGTGGAAAGTTCACTAATGAAAGATGAAGACAGATATTTTATTCTTATATTTTAGTGTGACAAACTTGAGTGTCAATCGCCAGACAGATTTGCAGTCTAGAGTAATAGTGCTTTATCTTCAGAAATTTCTTGTCAAAACTGAAAACTTCTACTTTGTTGCTTAACAATATTACACTTCAAATGGCCAGAAACCCCTGATCTTAAATGTGGTGCTTCAAGTAGTTAAGAATAAGAAGCTAAGGAAGTGTTTACATACCAGTTACCATCCATCCATTACCGCTCTGTACTCTTCAGTTAATCCACAGTATATCATATCAATATCACTTACTGTGAAATAAAGATTTCAGTATTTAAATAAGAAGATGAGAAATTATTTTTTGTGGATAGTGACTAGCAGTGAAATCCAGGACGCACATTTTTGATCCTTTTTGGGACTCATCATCTGAATGCATCTACAATCCCTCAAAGAGTAGTTGTTTTCCCAACGTGTGCATCCTAGATTCTACTACCAATCACCATCCATCTAATAATATCATATTATTTCCTTAGACATCGTCAAAGCGTCCGTATTAGTAGCTGACACGTCAACCAAGACAGAACATTTTGGTCCAATCAATCAAAAGAAAACACAGAACTGAATTAAATAAACAAATAATGCAAGGTCATTAACGAATATATTAAATTGGCGGCTGGTTTGGGCATTCACTTTCCCAAAGTTCTTTATTTATCTTTATTTCCAAAGCAGTCTGCTTACAAACAGGGTAGAAGTACTTTAGACGCTGCTGCTGTGTTTCATCACAACATTGTATCCTCCTTAGACAAAGGGGCCAAGTATGTCCGTTGTACGTTCCTTGATTATACATCTGCTTTCGACTCAGTACCTAGAGGCCTATTGTTAAACAAGCTTAGCCTTACACAAACTGAGCCCTGGGCTATCAACTGACTACACTCTTACTTCTCTAATAGGATGCAGTACACGGTATATAATGGTGTATCTTCCTCTCCTCTGCTTACTGAAGCTGGAGTTCCTCAGGGTGCTGTTCTCTCACCGGTTCTCTTTCCCTTCTTCTTACATGATTTACCTCTTTCAGATGAAATCAACTTCATCAAATATTCAGATGACCTGTCTGTATCGTTTCCCATTAAGTCTCAGTCAGACTGTTTCGTATTAAATAGCTTCCTGTTGGACATCAGTCAGTGGTCTAAACTAAATGATCTCATGCTGAATCCCTCAAAATACCAGACTATTGACTTCTCCCTTAGGCATAAACGAGATCTACAAACACTAGTAAGTTCTCATGAAGCCTGTAGCATTGAAGGGACTAAAACTGAAACTAAGTCTAATGCAAAATACCTCGGTCTAGTTCTATCTTCCGACCTTACTTGGTCATCTCATATCCTAACGATTTCTAAGAAAGTGTTCCGTCTAACCTACTACATTAAGAAACTTAGACAGTCTGGAATCACCCAACCTCTACTTTCACAATTTGTCAACTCTTGTATCTTACCTATTCTACTTTACTGATCCCCGTTAGTCTTTCCTGGGCTACTGAAAAAGGACTATACCATCCTGAGAAGGATGTTGAAAGTAGTTAGTAGGACTAGTGGTGTAAAACTCAGTTAGCTCTTCACTACATTAGTTGAAAGGCATCTGAATACATGCGAAAAATAGTCTAAAACCATACTCTCCGACCCCCAACACCCCCTCTATTCCCAGAAACCAGAAATCAGTATAAAATAATATATGCTCGTACAACCAAGTGCAGGAACTCAACGATAACATATTTGGCCCGTGTTCTAAGTGACAGAGACAATGTTAAGCGTGAAACCTATGACTTGCTTTGTTGTTACTAACATAATTTTTTGCTCTTTTATTTCTGTCTTATTTTGTATTCTATAGTGAACTCCTTCTCAAACATACTTAGCTACCTAAATAATTGACATTGGGTTACTTTTTGTACTTTACTGTATTCCTTCTTTTGTATATCTACTGGTTCCGACTATATTAGCACTATGAGTATTACAAAATTGTCCTGTCATTAACCATCATGTAATTATTAGTTTTTGTGGTTGTTTTTTCTTATTTTTATTTTTTTCGGCAATACTAACTTAGTTGTGAACGCCATTACCATCATCTCAAAATTTTGTATTATGCAGGATTACTCACACTACCACTACAAACATCGCATTAGACCTGACAATAAAAAACAAAACAACAACCCTGAAATGTTATTTTATGATTGTTTAGTGTTGTTTCAACCAAATTAACTGACCATCTTGGCGATAAACATTCTTAAATATCATTACATAACTTCTTGTATGACTACAGCTTTACTGTCACCATGCATAATCATATCATAGCTTCCACTACCCAATACTGAGATATTATTATATGCAGTTTATTTTCCTTACTACTTCTTGGTATTTTTTCGCATTAAAAAAAATTATTTTTGTGTTTTTTTGCTGTTGTTGTCTTTATATTTATTTTTTGAAACACTCCTTTTAAATGTTTGATAAAATTAGATGCAAATATTGTAGATATGTGCTGAAAATTCCACACTGTACCACTAGTACTGTTTCTGGAATAAAGCAAATTATTATTATTATTAAATTATTCATAAAATGTTAACAATCTATGAAATAATCGGAGTTTAAATTGTATAAATTTTTTCAGCTAACTTTTAAATCTGTTTTCAGCTTTTCAATTTCTGTTTCATGATTCTTTTTAACTAATTCAAGATCTTTGTCAAATTGTGCTTGCATTTCATTCAGTTTACTTTTATGATTTTCTTGTAGATTTGTTTGTATTTTCGAGAACTCCGCCTCCTTAAATGTAAAAAAACAACAAAAAAGCACATTAAAAAAATGACGCAGAATTTAAAACAACCCCTACTCTATAATGGAAAGTCTGAAATGAATGTGGTTAAAATAGCTTTAATGATATTTTGAATTCTGTGAAAGTTTTTTGAAACTACAGATACCATTTTCTCCCAAATAAAGGATGATACTACTCATTAACGAGTGTTAAAGACAAACATCTGTCATTCTCACATTTTGGTTTGACAAATTCGGACGACATTAGTAGCTAGGATAGTCAAGAAGTCTTCATTCACTATTTCACATTTCACAATTACAGAACGGAATATACACATTTGATCATAGGAAATAATAAAAAGACGGTTGCAGCGAAGAAAATCTTATTTTGGACGAAGTCATCGACTAGGCTGTACATTCGTGTGCTTATAGTAAATGGGTGAGAAAGTTCCAGAACTATTTCCGGTCAAAGGTCAAATTAATAAAACTACAAAGCGTAATAAACACGAAGATCAGATACAGAATATAGTAAGGTAGATAGGTTGTAGTATTATCCTAGAAACATTTCAGGACAAAGGGCAAATCAGTAAAATTACATAATAAATGGGTGGGAAAGTTCCAGAATAATTTCCGGTCAAGGGTCAAATTAATAAAATTACAATTAGGAATTAAAATGCCATAATAAACAGGGGGACGGATAAAACTCAAACAAAGTAGCATCATAATTACTGAGAAGATTGACATATTGTGCAGTTAGGGATTAAATATGTAGAAATAATGACAAAAATGACAAAATAGGCAGGAAGTTCGGATATGAAAACATGGTAGTGTAAATAGAGGTTAAGAAAAACTTAAAAATAACATGAATAAACAGTAAGTTTGGAGAAGAAAGGTAATGGGATAGTCACTATTAAGAGAATGACCTGTTTATGATGGCCATGACAGGGACAAGGGTTGGACGTATTTCTTTTGGTTACATAGAGTGGGTTTGAGTTTTTGGATGGCTAGTGCCTCGGCTGTGCCCAGATGTCTTGATTTTACTCCCTTTGATAGGACTGATCGGATCTTGTGTATGATCTTGAAGAACCTCACTAGATCGAGGAGATATCAGTGGAATAACTAGGCTTTAAAACATTTTTGCAATCTCCATAGTGAGAGGTTAGAAATGACCATAGTTTCCTTTGGAAACCAAATGGTGACCAAGAAAACAAGCGTGATGGTATATACTACTGATTTATATGAGTAGCTGGAAGTCACTGATATCAAACAATGGCATTTGCAAACATGTATTACCAGTTCACTCAAATAGATATCCAGAATGTGAATGGTTTGAACTGCTCTGTGAACTAAGTTACACAGGGTACACTATTAGTGAGCCCAACCTTAAATAGGAGAAGCAACAATTCTCGTGATAGGTCACTTCTAACTAACTGGTAAGCATTACTATTTGGTGTGAGTGACTTCCAACTACTCTAATCCATCACTAGTACAAACTATTATGTAAGCTACAAATCTCCTCCACTATCTAACAACTGCTACCCTACACATTCTATCGTTTCCAGCCTATAAAATAATAATTTAAAAGAAAATCAAATCTACTTCCTTTTTTCTAATTCTCATTCCTTTCACCTATATAAATCTTCTAGAATATGTGATGTCTCCCACAGGAAGTAATATTTCATTAAACAGAAACATCAGTACTGCTCTATATAGGAAATCAACACCCTTTCCTTAATATTTGACAAGGAAAGTAAAAGACAGAGCAGACACAGTCACTGTAAGTCTTGTCTAACACCTGTTGAAAATATACGGATGACAGGTAAAAAGGAAACATCTAGTGTTAGTTTTCATAGGGCTAAATCAAGACTGTTCTCTAATACGTGACCAGTGTAGGCCGACAAATAACGGATGAGCAAATCAGCTGAAGTATTTTACTGTCATCACGTAGAGTACTGAATTTTCTGACAGCTTTACTTATAAGTTCCATTGAAATAAGCGGGAAAAGAGTTTAAGATTTATGCAGAAGAAACAGTCCACGTGTGTACAGCATTAATTTCAAGAAGCAATTTGTAAAAAAGGTGAAAACAGTGCATGGTATCATGAGTTCACCGAAGAGGCTATCGACGTTGGTTGAAGTGTTACTTTCTCAGCTGAATCAAACGGGGTACACCACTGATGAGGTCGTTTCCAAACGATCGAAATAGCCGTCTGATGTTTAGATCACTAGCTGGAAAGCGCTACAGGTTGATGTGAGTGCTAAACAACTATTCATCTCAATCAAGCATCAGTATGTAGTTTTGAGGAGAACTAATCTTTTTGGTTCACTTCGATGATAATGCTTTGTTTTAGTGATTTCCCTTGCCATATTTTAATCTCTAAGTAGGTTTGTCCTTGTCATTACTGCTTTTATTGCTTGTATGCTTACTCCGAGTTATTTTCGGGGTTATTTTTCTTTGCTTTACAATAAAATACATTTATTTTTTACTTACAAACGGTTGCCTAATACATATTGTATATTATTTTATTTGTTAGCACTACTTTCCAAGTTGGACATGATTTCAGTGTCCTAAATACGAAACCAATTTTTTACCACCTAACTTTTATATTTCCATATTATAAATATTAAATGGAGATGGATTGAATATACACTGAGGAGACCGCTGAGTGACACCAACTGCTAGGAACTCGAGTGGAACCCGGATGGGAAACAACAAGATGGGCATTAGTTCGAAGGTGACATGGAGGAGATCGTCTTCGGGAGGGGGGGGGGAGATGGAAGTTTGTGGGAAATCGGGGAGCCAGCAATAAACAGTGAAGTGCTGATGTGCTTCTGGATCCCCATGTTCCACTCGGAACCGAAGGGAATAATAACTGTTATTACAGATAATATGATAATAATTACTATCACTATGAATATATTATAATTAGTAGTGGTAGTGTTTGTTGTAGTGGTTGTCAGGATAAGACATAGCATCAGTTCATTAATTATTTGACTACCGGTTTGAGCCACGTAAAGAGGCTTAGACTACCTTACTGGGACTCCTAAGATGCTAGGTTTAATGGCTCAAAATCGTTCCCGTTGGCACAGATGCACTCCCTTTTTCTAACCTCTCAGGTCTGTTAAATTCTAATAATTCTCCATGAGATTATTGTATCCTCTACATTTTTCTGTTTATTATAGTTTACGTTTATTTTTTATTTCTATACCTTAATCTTTGTGTGTGCGTAACGAAATTCAGCTGCTCGAAATGTCGCACTGCAGTCCTACAGGGAAATTTATCTTTGTCAATATCCCAATGATATATTTTTCTTATTATATTATTGTTCTTCCCTTGGGTTCCCAATGGAACATGGGGCTTCAGCAGCACACCTCCAATTTCTCCTGTTCCCTGCAGTGCTTCTGAGTTGGCACCGCGATTTCCCATAGGAGCTCACCTCTATCTCACCCTCAAACAGATGCTCAACTAATCGTTTCCCATTCGGGTCCCACTCGACTGCCTAGCGTGACGGTTTCCTCAGAATGTCTCCCACCCATCGAACCCGGAACTTATTGAATGAAAGTTAAGCCAGAGACCCATAGAAATAAATTCTTGCTTCTTTCAGTCTACAATATAGCATCACCGTCAACCAATGTCGTCGGTTATCAGTCACTCTACACCTGGCATGATGAACCCCAGTCACCATGATTCATCATTAGAACTCCAAGACATCCATCCTGTTTCAGTGACCATTTATTGTCTTCATTGACAATGTCTGTTTGCTATAGTAATGCTAAGTTTGAAAGATTGTGAGAGTGATTAGACGAAGACATTATGAAGAATAAAACACTGTGTTGTTTGGTTTCCACAGGTATATCAAAGAATACAACCTTACTGTATGTTGCTATATACTTTATGCGGCTTGGCATTAAGCTTGTCTTAATGGCACAACCAAATACACACTTGTGCTTCATTCGAGTCATTTATAACCAACATATTAATCTCTTTCACTAATTTCTGCGATAATAGTTTTTTATAAAAAATTATGGTAACGGACACTACTGATTCTTAAACTGATAAAATCATAAAGTCATTTATTCAAAAGTCAAATAGTACTGTAACAACAGAAGACAAGGGCCAGGCAACAGATCGTTTATTAAGGAAAATCAACACATATTTATAGATTTTAATGTACATTATTGTAGATATTATTGTTAGTAGAAAATACAGTCTTTTGATTGGTTGTTTCTCACAGAAAGTTAACCTTGCATCTCTTTGTGGCTGTGTCAGATCATCCATATGCTAACTGTATCCGCCTACACAAAGTCTTTGTTCTCATTTTCTCACCACCAATATTGGGGACATAAACATTGACGTCAATTACTGTCTACCAACTTTGGCTAGCAGCCAGCTCTCACCACAGTACTACGAGTAGGCTGTACAGTCTAAATGAGCTTAAACGAGAATGACTCTCAGTTTTACTGGAGGTTTTGAATGTTTGAAATTAATCTTAAGGAAATGTCGCTGTCTAACCTATGAAAAACTGATTTTCAACCAAAGGAACTTCACATTACTGTTGGTGATGACTATCGGTGGACTCTAGGATTCGTTTTCAGTTTTGTTTGAGACCCTTCAGCTGAATATACTTTCAGCCTCAGTGAGCGATGGTATTGCCACTGAGGCTAGAACCCACCACTCACTGGGGACGAAGATATCCCATGGTTTTGCTGTCTTTGAAGCCTTTTGTGACTGTGTGTGTCTCAGTGGAGTTTCGGTCAGCTGTAAAGTAGTACAAAGATTTTGGTGTTTTCTGCTTTCAGACCCTAACGAGTCGGTTTAGGTCGTTATAGCTACCATTTCCTCTTCACACGATCCCGTCTTTGTCACACACACTTCAAACATATCGTTTCCCACTTGGGTTCTATTCGAGGACTGGCTTGGCGCGTGATTTCTTCCAACGGTCTCCTCAGTTTATTTTCTATCCGTTTCTACCTTTTTTTCTGCCCATTTGTTGGGTGATAATTTCCTGGTTATTTCGTCAACAGAAATCATCATTGTTTATCCGTTATTCGCGGTCACCTGATCTCTAGTATCTCACCAGTAAAAGCAACTGATAATGAAAATTTGCAGTAGGTTTTTGGAAATCCTTTTGGTGAAGCGAGCCCTAAATCCGTATAGAAACACTGGTTTAACATAAGTTTTAAAAATCAGGATCACGTGCCCTATGCTGAGTACCGCAGATTTCTAGAATGATTTCAGAGCAGCAGAGATCTGTCCTGCTCTCCTGATCCTGCCTTTAACAGCCTAATCTGTGCCATATGTAGCTGAAACGATGCTGCTCAAGTGAGTGTGTCATTGATAATGGCCGATTCCTGTTGTTCTTGGTTAGAAAGAAACATACATCACAAAATAGTGGGACTTTTAGTTATTATATAACAAACATTTAGCTGGTATGAAATGCAAGCCCTATCGAATATCATTATTTACAGAAAAAAACGGCATTGTCTAAATAACAGCTTGATAAAATTTTTATTTCATTGTCCATAAAATCAGCTGAGCTGGGTTGGACTGAAAAAGAGAAATGCTATCACATTGAACAGTTACTCTGAGATCCTTATCTGACAAAAATATGAAAGACAATACTTTACTTTTAACAAACAAATCTGTTTCAGCATTTTGTTTACCTTGGATATGTTGAAAATAATTATGCTTACAAGTTATTCGAATAATAATAAAAACAAAATTTAATCGATCTATGCATTGTTGTTGCACACCTTCTCTCTGCTTTTATTTAGCATCGTTAATCCGTGCTGTTTACTATGCTGTTACTATGGTATTCACAAGCCATGCATGCTATCACAGAAAATAATCATTATATTAGGTCACAGGATAACAAACATTACAGTCCGATAAATAATTTGCACAATTAAAATTAGAGTACATCTAGAAGAGATTTGATCTTTCACTCGTTTCTGTTATTGTTAAGAACTGGTTTTATGTCAAGCGCGCCTATCGCACTTTAAGTGAAATTTAAAAAAAATGATTAAAATCAATAGTTAGAAATCATGCATCTGACTATGATTTGCAGTTATTGTGTGACAGCTGAAGATACTACTCAGTTGCCTGGGTGAATCAGATGCAACAGGATTCGAACTTAAGGCCTGTTGAATGAAAATTCAGTCATTAATCCATTCACCTACACCTTCACAACATGGTGGAACACAATTCAAGGATTGGTGTATATTAAATTTACTTTCATTCCTTAAGTATTGGGCTTGGAAGTTTCATTAGAAGTGGTGTTATTTTTTAGTAGGGTGGGATAGCTAGCCTCACGCCCGTTTTTATCTCTGTCCACATGCCGATCGAGGTTTCAGGAGTGCGTCAACAGGGAATAAAACTTGGAACACGTGCGTGGCTGGCAAGCATCATACCATTAAGCCACAGATACACTAAACTAAGAAGTATTGGACAGCCGTTTCATTCTAGTATGGGGCTCTTCAGTAGCACGTACCCATGACCCTAACAGGAGTCGAACGCAGGATGTTTAGTTAACCAGGCTAGCTCGCTGAACATTCAGCCACTAGGATGTACATCACATTACTACACATTAAATTCTAAAACCTAATGAAGGCCGATTTATCAGGTTTAAGGTACTATTCATCTCTGAAGATACTAATAGTGAGACTTCTTTTATCCTTCTGTCGAACTTAGGAAATGTAATTTAACAACCTCTTTAGGACATCTACTTAGTGCATATTACCCAGCTAGTGGCAAAATCCTTCAAATACTTCTATCCTATAGGTCGAATTCTGTCTTCTTGTAAAGAGCATTTCTAATATTTGTTTTCTTCAGGATACATCAGAATCAAGAAATGCAATTCCATCAAATATCCCTGAAAAATATATTTACTCTTCCCGCTAAAAATGTCAGTAGTCTGAAAAAGTTACATCATAAGATTTTGCTAAGATTTTGTCCTCCTCTAGTCTGACCACTCCCGCCCTACTACTCTGCCCTATCTATTTCACCTGACAGTCATTGTAGGGTATTACATAAACTAAGTTATTTTGTTCACTTGACTTAACAGGATCCTTTAACCGACAAAGCTTGTTTCCAATTGAGTTTGTGGGTGACTGAATGCCACTTTTACTCCTGCATTGCTAAGAGTTCTCCGTAAGGTTTCTGATGACTTATATTACCGATTCCTGGTGTTGTCATTATCCTGTGCATGTAGTGAGAATTCTTAACAATGTAGGAATAAAAGTGGCTGGCATTCAATCACTTACAAACTCAATTGGAAACAAGCTTTGTAGGTCAAAGGATCCTGTGGAGCCAATTAAACAAAACAATTTAGTTTATCTAACACCCTGCCTCCAATTATTTGTCAGGTCAAATACATAGGTGAGAGTAGTAGAACGGGGTAAGTCAGTCAGACTAGCGGAGAGCACAAAAACCTAGATAAATCTAGATTAGTTGACCTGAATAAGATAAGAAATCTAGAGAATAGTTCAGCTATAGCACTGCATGCAATTACACACAACCATACAATAGGATGGGATAAGATGACAGTTTTAAAATCTAATGTAACAGGATGGAGGGAGAGATTGATAACTGAAGCTTTATTTATCGAATCAACTGCAAACACGTGTAATAGGAATGATTCAACACCTGTCCTAGATATCTGAAAAATTCTACTACCCCTACGACGACAAATAGGAGAGAACAAAGAAAACTAAAAAACTCAAGTTTCGAAGTCGTGTGATTATAACTGATGAAATGATTATGAACAGTAAACTGTGTTCGAAACTTCGTCATCCAGTAAATAATACTGTTTCACTGTGTGACACATCTAATAAACAAACTAATATGGAAAATATTTACTCATTGTACAGGGTCTTCAAGCAAGCTGGTTATTGACTATGCATATATATATATATATATATATATATAATGTAAATTTTGTTCCATCTGAATCAAGATCCGATCCCTTGGACACTTCTCCTTCAAGTTCGTTTGACAAATGCAAATTAGTAGATTCCAAGGTGCTACATACTACTGATCAATTAAGATGGGTAGTTGTGTGCCGCTTCTACCACCCAGTAATACTTGCCAGCTAGTCAGATTGAGGTGATTTAAACACACATATTATGATCTGAATAATTTCATTATCCAGTAGTAACTGTGGCAAAATTTCGTCTCTAACTATGCAAATTGCAAATATCGAATTTGATTAATAGTTGATTGCAAGTTATTTAAAAGCAGTACGTGAATTCACACCGCACAATAACAACACTACTGGATGACTGAAATACTAAGAGATGTAGGAAAGTTGATGCAGTGTGAAGCATTCAATCAGGTCGTCGAAACTTCTGATAACCGATCTAAATAAGTCTAACATGGAAAAGCACCTTACAAAGAAAGACATTGTGTCAACTCATTTGTTGTTGAACATGTGACTAAATATGCTTCAGCATTTCATTTATTCAGTATTTGCCACTTAACTGCTTCAATCTAATAAATTGTTGACAATGAATTAAGATAATAATCAATGAATAAATTTATTACAGGATTTCATCATGAGTTGACATTGGTTAGAGAACCATTGGAAAACCTGGGAGTACTGGACAGCTGTTTCGTCCTAGTTTGGGACTCTTCAACAGTACGCACCCACCGGGGTTCTAACCCAGGACCTTCTGATTAGCTCATGATGAAATCCTGTAACCAATCAAATCCCTACAAACCAACACTTGAATATCAATGAGATGCTCACTAGCGACTTGCTCTATTCAGGTAGCTAGTTACCTGGGGTTCTAGTGAGAAATCGTGACCAGTAGGGTGCAGCAGGTCGGGTGTGTGGACAAATGCTCACCGAAGACATTGGCTAGCGGTCGCGCTATGTCGTGAATTGGCAGAAGTTATAATTCATGGGCCATTGGATCGGGTCCCAGTGGCTTAATGGTCTACGACTAGCTCGCCTTGTAACCAGAAAGTCCTGAGTTCGAACCCCAGTGGGTGCGTACTGATGAAGAGTCCCAAACTAGGACGAAACAGCTATCCAATACTCCCAGGTTTTCCAATGGTTCTCTAACCAATGTCAGCTCATGATGAAATCCTGTAACCATCAATCAAATCCCTACAAACCAATACTTGAATAAATTTATTATTATTATTTAAAAAGGATATTAAACTTACTTTTTCCTGTTTTATTTTCAATAATTCAGCTTCACTTCTCTTTTGTAATTCATCTTTCTCTTGACTACTTATATTCAATTTATGATTAATTTCCTGTAGTTGTTTACTTCATATAAAATGTGACGAAAGCAAAAAAGAAGGGAAGGCAAGTGTGAAGCTAATTTATACCTAATTTCAATTTTTTTTAATAATGTGTGGAGTATATGTTTAATTAAACATGAATTTTAATTCAGTAGTTAAATCAAGCTAAGCGAGTTTTTTGATATGACACTTAGCTATGAACTAGATAGAAATCAAAACCCACGGTGATATCGATGTCTCTATGCTTAGTGTTGCTTTCATCGAAGGAAAACACATCAGTCAGCTGGCTTAACGAAGGCTATCACCAGCTGACATCATTCATCCTTAAATTGAGGGAGTCTTCCCGATTCCAGGATGGAGTAGATTTATTTTATCTGGTGTTTTTGTTTTGCCTGGTGAGGTAGGTAGCCCCCCACAACTAAAATTCCTTCTTTTTCTGACCTAAGGCTGGCTAATAAACTAGGGCAGTTCTTCATGTGACATCACACGCTAGTCCCTCAAACAGGAATTGCCGAGTTGGGCGTTCTTGGATGACAAGGAGAACCATGTGTAGTGAAAGTAAAAGTAAAGCCAGCTAAAAATGATGGTTAAAGCTCTATATTCCACTCAGAACCTAAGAGACGAATAATAATGTTACTCCAGAACTAACACTGACGGACTTCGAATAACCAGTTCAATATCAAGCTAAAAATCTATTTTGTTTAAATGCGTTAAAATACAAACAACTCGATTTTTTTTCAAAATACACTATTAATCTCATTCTCTTCAGCCAGTTAAGTCTACTCTTTCTAAAGGCTGACTAGCAGACAACTACCTACACTACGTAGTCTACTGGCCAGTCATTCTATAATAGGTTGGTTCAAAACTTCTAGTGTACCGACAGTCTATCATAAAGAGTACCTAGCCAGATACGTGTGAACATATATAGTGTGAAAAATCACTGAAAACAGGAATTAATGACGATAAGAAAAGTGATTATGAAAAGAATGTGGCATCATCATACGAAAAGATACATAAGAAACAACCAAAGAGACTTCAGAAATGTCGGCATTCCGAATTAAATGTAAACTACTGAGTATGATCAGGAATTGACTAAATTGGGCAGAAATATTGTAGCCTACGAAATATCCTGGCCAAATTCATAAATGTCAATCTCAGCACATTGGTAAAAGGTGACACCAACACAGCTCTCAACATCATAGAACATAGCTTAGGATACAGAAAAATGGCTGACTATAAATACAAAAACATCTTATATGATATTTTTCTGTAAGTGTGTGGCTGAAAAAAATCCGGCATTCCGGATGACTCTTTAAGAGCTTCACATAATTCTTCCTGTGCAGAAACTTGAGCAAAGAAAGAATGGAAAATGTAGTGGGATAATTTGAGCTCTGTCGGTCTCATAGGAACTTTGGGTTCAATCATCTTCAGTGAAGGCAGGATAATCTAGATCGTCTAGCATCAGTTCACTTGCTGTTCACGCAATGTTCCAGTTTTTCATTCAGGATAACAATGGGCAGTTATTTTTAAGATATTATCTTAATTTTATTCCTTTACGTTTCCAGTGGAACCTAGGGCTTCAAGCTAGAGCTTTGAAGTATCGGCAGCATTGGTTTTTATTTTTACGGGATGGGATTGCTAGCCTTAATTCCAACGTTCCATCTTTACAGGCCTTACTGTCGGCTTAGCGACATTTTAGTAGTGCGACTGCCGAGAATCGATTCCTGGACCAGTTATATGGTTGGCGAGCATTCTACCGCTGAGCAATGGACGCACAAAGCTGAGTGAGTAGGTCCGGAAATGCATTACTAGAAGAGAACTTTATCATTGTTTGTAAACAACTATTATAAATGCACTTATAAATAATCGATAGATATATAATACTTCTATCAGTAAATCTCAAATCTATATACAAACACTATAAAGTGATATCAGGAGTTCCATGAGGAATATAGGGCATCGACAGCTTATCTCTATTCCATCCTGTCCTATGCAGCTCTTTTTAGCTGAGTTCAAGATTCACTATAAGGTCCCAACTCCTCCTCACACGATCTCCTCCATGTCATAGTCGGTCACACATCCACCTCGTCGTTCCTCATTCAGACTTCACTTATGCGTCTAGTGTGTGATATCACCCAGCAGTCTTCTTGGCATATATCCAATCCATTTCCATTTTATTCGGTATATTTGTTCAGCGATAGGTTCTTGGTTGGTTCACTGCACTTCCAGAGTTCCTCGGTTTTAATCCCTTCTTGTCGTGTGGTCTTCAGTATGGAGCGGTGAACGTAGTAACAAGGATAAAATCCAACAAAAATAATCACATCCTGATTTGATTTTGTTGATAAGTACAAATCCTATCCATAAACACATAGTGACAAACAGGCTCTTTATCTTACAATTAGTTCCAATGTTATTTGTTGTGTTGTCACGTTGAATAAACGTTTTCTTGTATTCGACTTTCGTCAGATGAACACATCTACTTTTAGGTAAGTGATATTCCAAGTAAACCTTAAAACCAAGATAGGTACTAATTTTATAGTGATTCAATGTGACTCGGCGCTCAAATTATTCCAGGAAATTCGTAACATTTATAGTCTAGATATTTATAAAAGTTAAAACTGACTGAAAAACGTTAGCCCATTGCATTCTTTTTATGATATTTACAAATTAGTTAGTGAGTGTTATCACATTAACTAGAATTAAACAAGGAGACTATTAGAGCAAATATAATAGTTGCAAAGCTATCTCACTTCTTGTGCCTTCACAAGAATTAATTCAGAGTGCATTTCTTCAAAAATCAAAATGCTTTTAAACTGTTGAGTCTTACTTAGTTGATATTAGCTAGCAGTAGAATCCAGAATGTTTGGGAATCGTCAGTTAGATGTATCTACATTCCCAGGGTCATGATGTTTCAACAGAGACTACAGCCCATCATCCACTATTTCCAACAAAAGAGTGCATTCCACTAAGCCAAATGGGCACAAGAGCCGCCTGTCTTTCAAAGGGTTATAGTTAGTGTTTTGAATTCCGCGTTAATTAATGATACTGAACCGAGATGTTGGGTCTCTGTGTCTTATTTCAGTGACCTGCTGGTATTTGAAATAGTGTGTACTGAAACACCATCACTCACTAAGAATGCAGATACGTCGGGTTGACGAATCGCGAACAGGACGAAACGTGACTACTGGATTCTGTTGCTAGCCACTACCAACCAAATGGAAGCAAATACAGATAAAAAACTTGAATATATAAAATCTTAAGGCATATAATATACTACTTACCAAAGACTTTCTTTTTCACACAACAAATCGTGGACTTTATCTTGTGCCATTCGTAACTGACTACTGATCGAACTTATTTCACATTCATATTTAGCAGACATATTCGACTTTTCAACGGATAGATCAGTTATTTCTTTCTGTAGTCTTACAATGTCCAAAGAGTGTTTTTCATTTAATTCCTAAAAATTAATTATCACATGATATGGGTATGTGAGAAAGGGAGAGGGGAAGAGTAGTAAATATTTATCAAGTATCAGTTCGAAGGGATTTGATTGGCTGCACGATTGGTCACGAACTGACATCACTGGAAAACCAGAGTGTACTGGACAGCTGTCTCATCCAACTTTTGGGGGTCTTCAGCAATTCATAATTACTAGCAACTGGCCCTAAACAGGAACCTACCTGGAGTTCTAGTAAGAAGCCGTAACCAATTGAGTCTACCAAGTCAGATAACAGAACGGTTACTCGCCTATGACGCTGGTTGGCAGTTGCACTGTATATATCGTAAATTGGCACAGTTAGATTTTATAGGCCATCAGACTGGGTACCAGTGGCTGAATGGTCTGTGAGGCTGCTTTCTCCTGGGTGAGTGTTGCTGAAGTGTCCCGAACTAGGGCGAAACAGCTATTCACTGCTAAAAATCTCCCTAAGTTACTGATATTACAGTAAATCACTTATCTTTACGGAGCATTTACGAAAGAAACCACAAAATGTTTTCTAATTACTATCTTCTGTTCTGGTTCACCGTACTAGCTGCATCATATCTATACTTTGACTGGACACTAATAACTAGTGTGATGTGTCTAGTCCTTTGTTTGGTGCAGACTGAATTCTGTCAGTCAGGTTTACAATGTGGCCTCTATCCTAGATAGCTCGCCATCACGGTGTACATTGATTTGATAATATTAGATGTCTGGAGGCAATCGGCAGGAAGCCTTCCACCTAGGTTTCGACCTCAGTAGTAACGTCTCTGACTGCAGTAGTGAAAGACGCGGGTTTGGGTCTCAGGAGAGACTTGAGTTCCTTCCAGGCTGCAGATACGCCTTGCTGACGAGTTCCAACTAGCACGAAACCTAGGTGGAAAGCTTCCTACTGACTGTCTCCAACCATCTAATGGCATCATATCCAGTAAAGACATAACCAAATAACTAGAATAACTAAACAGGAAGCAGTAAAATCATCACACCGCAAGTAAATAATAGTCTGAAATCATACTATGTTGTTGAAAAGATCCACACATGACATCAAAAGGGACTGGTGTACAGTAAAAGAATTTAGGTACCCTAAGAACGGGATAGAAAAATATAAAGCGTGACATAAATTTCAGTTTTATTGGCAAAACAAGTTTTTCTAAAGCGGTTCAAGTATATTACTCAGCATTGTGTCAGGAATACAAAAAATTGTTTGAATGTAAGACTCACTCTGATCGACAAATTCATTTTTTGAAAAATTATATTTACACAAACACATGAATGTTAAATATAATTCGAGTAAAAGCCTCTATTCGTTGAATTAGTTTCCATGGTATTTAAATTTAGTTTAGTAAACATAAATTCGGAAAACCTGTAAGATATTTTAACTCACATTGGAACATAAAATATACATTTATATACATATCATAGTTGTTAAACAAAGCAGTGAAATATACTCATCTGAAATAGATAAGTAGTACAGTGTAGTCTACAATAGAAATTTAAGTGGCTGATTATTCTTATCGGAAAGTCGTTCTTAGCTCTTTTTGGAGTAGTGAGCAAGTCTATAAGGATAAATTACTCTATAATAACGGATTCGAATATGACACATGATACAGACACGACTTCATAATTTCCATTATATGTACAACTTTCTCTCTCTCTCCCATGTTATTCGTTGTAATTTTCCGGTATAGGGATTGCGTCATTTCGAATGTATTCGATGAACAAAGACTCGGTGATTAACCTCTCTCTCCACCTAACGATATTGCTTTCTAATACCTTCACATTGCCCCACCCTACTGTAGTAGTATTAAAAATTAATATAGTTAGGCTGAGAGACAGAAGTTAATCACCGAGTCTTTGTTCATCGAATCGACAGTAAACACGTTGAACTGAAATGACGCAACGCCTATACTGCATATATGGTAAATGGCAATGAATAACAGGAGGGAAAGTGAAGAATATATGTAGAGAAAATTTTGAAGCAGTGTGAAGAAACTGATGTGATTATGAGCGATAAATTCCGCTTGAAACGCAATCAAGTAATTGATACCGTATCACTTTGTGTTATATCAAATAAAATTATCTAATATGGAAATACCTGGATAGTTATGTGAACTGGATTAATTACAACGTCAAATTTCTTACAAGCCGGTATCAGTTAGAGGCTTACTGAGAACCAAGGATTAGTGAACGGTTGTTTCGTCTTAGTTTCTAACTGTACATCAGTCCACACCCATGACATGGAATAACTTTCAGCTGGATGGAAAGGGTCTGTCTGTCTGTCTGTTTTCGACATAGAACTTTGTACACATATGTGCGGCAGTACAAGTCGCCACACTCCACTACTTGTAGCACACAAAGGAAGAGAAGAAAGTAGGAGAAATGCATAATATAGACAGTAAACAGAGGTGTGAGACAAAGGAATAGTAGTAACGGAGAACAAAACAGTTTCATAATCATAAGTCACAAGGAGTGGATGCATCTGCACCAGCCACTGAGAACGATTTTGAGCCGTACCACCAGTTGTTTTCAACCATTGGTTTTTACCGTCCCGAGGACCCCAACCAGGAAGTCTACATCTTCCTACGTGGCTTAGACTAACTGTTGTGGATTTCATTGACTGGTGACGCCATGTTTTGGTTTGACTGCCGCTAGCTCTTTTCCAGTCTGACGCATCCTACCTCAGCTAACATTGCTCATTGTCGAGGAAGGCGATGACTAGGCATACGTAACACATGTCCCAACCATCTCAGTCGATGTAATTTCACAGTTTCGTCGATTGATTTTCCCGCCTTACCTAGCACTCGACCGATGCCTAACCTCAATATTGCTCACCTTATTATACCACTTCACAAGGGAGATAGAACGCAGACACCTATGATCAAAGACAGGTAATCTTTTCATGTCTTCCACTCTCATTGGCCAGGTCTCACAGCCATAAAGGAGGACAGGCTGGCATTGCAGTTAGAACGCTCGCCAATCAGGCACATGGTCCGGGGTTCGATCCGCGGCCGACGATGGAAAGGGTATTACATAGTGAAGTTGCACTCCTTTCTATGAATAAACTCTCGACATCATAAGTTGTGCATCTATTTAAAAGAGATTTCAATGGAAGATTTCATCAGTGATCAATATCATTTAGATGGCTACTGAAAATTTGGGAGTACTGGATAGCTCTTTTGCTTCAGTTGCAAATTCTTTATCAGTACCCATCCAAGACCTTAACAAGGACGAAATTTGTGAGACTAATCAGATTTCCACGAAGCCAGCACTCCATAAAAATATATGTTTAATTTTTCTTACACATATCCTTCTTATCAAATTAGTGGAATTTCAACTTGGTAAGGTGTAGACGATTATTCATATTTCTTTTTTTTTCTATATGTGTGATCTGTGAAACATAGATACTGATATACAGAAAATTATATTTTTATGGATCCTCGTAATATTAAATTAAATAATTTCAATGTTTCGTTCAGCAAACTGATCCGAACTTTCTGAAGGAAATAATCCAAAACAAAATATCAAGTGTGCATAAAAATCAGAGGTGACGCCTTTGTCTACTTTTTACTCGGCGAAGAAGTTTTATGGAGCTAGTCGGTTAATCTTGATAAGAGTTCATACAAATAAAAAAATACTGATAGATCAGAAATAAACATCTAGAGCGCCTAACTTCAGAATGTAATTTATTGCTTGGAAAATTAATTGCATTCCTATGATACTTGAGACTAAAAAGCCAACAGTCACCAAAATTGAACAGTACTATTATTTATTATTATTTTATTCCTTTACGTTCCCAGTGGAACATAGGGCTTCAAGCTAGAGGCTTGAAGTTTCAGTAGCAGTGGTATTTATTTTTACGGGATGGAGTTACTAGCCTCATACCCAAGTTTCACTCTTTATCAGTCTTACTACTGGCTCGGAGAGGCAAGGGAGTGCGTCTGTGGCTGGGGATCGAACTCCGAACCACCTGCGTAGTTGGCGAGCATTCTGTCGCTGTGCCACTGACGCATAATTTGAACAGTGCACTTTTATGAAAATTATTCAATATTCCTGTCGGTTTGATAGTTAAAAGACGTTTGAATAGGTTCAAAAAACTCATTTGCCTTTTGTAATATACGGAATGTATGACAGCAGAAACATTTGTGCACATTTTATAAGAACCAACTGTACTATGAGGAAATAATCCCTGCAGTTTTAAAACGCACCTACTAAATGTTCATGACTTCTTCAGTCTTTGTGGATTTAACAGTCGTTCAGATAAATTTGAAGTTCCAGTAGAAGAAGATACAAGTGGTCGAAAAAATTACGACATTATTTGACATAGTAAGTAACTACTGCTTTGAATCACTAAAGAAGTTCATATCTATATGGTGAAGATGCATAAAATGTATAAGATAATATTTTGGATTTTTGAACAGTTGTAAAGTGCCAGAAACCTCCTTAATCCTATATTAGAATTTCAGGCATACACACCAACTCACTAATAAGCAACTGAACTTGATCATTGTCTTATGTTCCCAGTTTCTGATCCATAGCCCAGTGTCATTTTTCATTCTTATGTGTTCCGAGTAGAACACAGGGCTTCAAGCATTGGTTCTGAAGTTTTAATAGTAGTGGTATTGTTTTTACGGAGTGAGGTTTCTAGTCTCCCGTTCAACCTTCTGTCTTTGCCAAGCTTACTGCCTTTTGAGCGAGGTTTAAGGGTGCGTCGGCTGGGAATCAAACACCAAAATATGTGTATAGTTGGTGAACATCCTGCCAGTGAACTATCTACGCTTCACCAAATGCCAGAGGTGAGTAAATGTCTTCACAACTGGCTCGTAAATCAAGATACCTTTGAGTGTATGCATTTTTCATGGACCTTCTCGATGAACTATTAGCTAATGCTGACTACTGACTGAATGCAAAGCAGATTCTTAAGCCCCTAGTTAGAAGCTGTAATTAGCTGATGTAAGAGGGCTTAGATTCCTGTTTCACTA